AATCTCAGGGTTAATCTCAGGGTAAATCTCAGGGTTAATGTCAGGATTAATCTTGTGGTTAATCTCAGCTGCGTTTGCGGCGTGTCAGATGCGCATACGCTCCTGACGCGCTGCTTCAGCTGTTCAAAACGCGCTGCGGCACATTTTGCTGCGTCTTGACGCGCGTCAACCATTGACTTTGCATGTAAACTTGCTGCTCCTGCTGCCTCTGCTGCTTTAGGCGTGAACTCAGCATTCGCTTTATCAAAACTCTGGCTGCAGTATTTTAGATCAGCTGAACATTTCTGAAGCTGTCCCTATCAGGTCTATAACTCTCAGTCTGTTTGTGGTTTCCTCCCCAGAGACTGTGATGTCAGTCAGATAAACTACATGTACGCTCAGTACGTCAAAAACACCATGCAGACTCTCAACATCGCTGACGTCACCAAGGACCAGCGCTTCCCATGGACGGTCGGTACTCCTCTCTTCCTCATGTTTCCTCTTCCTCCTCCCTGAGTAATCATCCCTGCTGATGTCTGACAGTGTGAAAGCTCCGATCAGCCCGGCGGCCGGATCAGAAGCCTGCTCTGCACTCCTATCAGGAATGGCAAAAAAGACAAAGTCATAGGTAGGAGCCCTGTCGCTGTTTCACACTTTAAAAGCTGCTGTTCTGGGAAGTTCTTAGAGGTTTGTAGAGAGGAAGCTCCACTAATCTGGGCTTGGTTGAAGAAAGTCGTTCCAGCTTCACCTCTTGGTTTGTAACCAGGCATGCAGGGACAGCAAACATGGAAGGACATGCTCTGCTCTTAGACCAGAACTGGCATGTGTCCATGGTGAATCAAAGCAGCGGCAGTATCATGCTGTGGGGAACACCTGCTCCCAAAATAACCAGTTCAGGTTTTGTGTGTGTTTTGTCTTGTAGGTGTGTGTCAGCTGGTGAACAAAACAGATGAAACTTCCAGCAGCATTAAGGCGTTCAACAGAAACGACGAGCAGTTCTTGGAGGCCTTCGCCATCTTCTGTGGTCTCGGCATTCAGAACACGCAGATGTATGAGACGGTGGAGAGGGCCATGGCCAAGCAGGACGTCACCCTGGAGGTCAGGCTTGAGGACAAAATGGAGAAAAGGCTCAGGTTACAGAGGATGGGTCACTGGTTCAGTTCACTTCCTGGTTACTTCCTGTTCCCCTCTACTTCACTTCCAGTTCACCTCTACTTCACTTCCTGTTCACCTCTACTTCACTTCCAGTTCCCCTCTACTTCACTTCCAGTTCACCTCTACTTCACTTCCTGTTCACCTGTACTTCACTTCCTGTCCCCATCTACTTCACTTCCTGTTCACCTCTACTTCACTTCCTGTCCCCCTCTACTTCACTTCCTGTTCACCTCTACTTCACTTCCTGTTCCCCTCTACTTCACTTCCAGTTCCCCTCTACTTCACTTCCAGTTCACCTCTACTTCACTTCCTGTTCACCTCTACTTCACTTCCAGTTCACCTCTACTTCACTTCCTGTCCCCCTCTACTTCACTT